GGGCCATCTTCGTGCGAAATTCACAATTCCATATTCGTGTGTCCATCGGGTGTCAACTTCGGGACAGTGTGACAGGGGCTTAAGGGAGGGGGGGCCAGTCCAAAGGTCATTGAGTGCTGGTATCATTTTCGTCCGAGTTTCCCCATTTCCCCGGTCAAGTCTAGAGCATTTTTACAAAACCTTAAGATGGAAGAAGTCTTTCAGGAGTGATTTTTTTATGTTGTGGACGCAGGATGTTTGTGGAGGTTTTGTCGGAGCTTAACCTGCAGTCTTAAACCGACAGAACATGAAACAAAACAAGAGTGATCCCATCAACTCCAGCTCAAGTGCACCAAAGTCCATTATGACGGTGTGATCGGGTTAAAGGCCTAATCCCAAAAACAATATAAACACAGAGAAGCCGGCGGGCTCAGAGAGGAGAGGAAACGTTCTGCTCTGGAGGCTGAGGGAGCAGATGGACATGTTTAGTTTAATGTCCGTCAACTTCTGTCTGTTTTTGCTTCTGGTGGCGTAGAGAGGCGAAGTCCCGCCCATCTACTTCCGGTCCATGGGACCTTATTTCGGAAAAAGTTTGTATTGAATTGGGCCACGAATTACACATATGATGTTTGTCAATTTAAAAAATAATTCCCATGTCAAAAAAGTCACAGTTTGTCGTAAAACTGTTGAAATATGAGACTATGAAAAATACGCAACTAGAAAGACTACAAATCCCAGAATCCTGGTCCCGCATGCTGGCTCTCAGGAACCGACTAATGGCGCATTTCCACTGCAGCGGGTAGCCCCGTTTAAGCGTCCTTAACCGTCCTCAAGCGGCCAGGCCAGTTTTTGGTGGCCTTTCCATATAGCCTAGTACCGGCTAGCGGGTACTTTTTCCCTCTTTTTCCGGCCTCATAAAATCGTGGTTCCCTCAGACCAGGGCCAGGGCTGAACTAGTGACGTCAACACTCTCGACTGCTGATTGGTCAGAGAGAATCGTCACAAGATCGCGCGCAAGATCATCCCTAGCGTCGCATATATATTTAGAAGCAAGCTTGCAGCATTTTATAAACAGCATTTTGTAAACGGAGGAGCTACAAAAATGGCTACGTCTAATAAGAAAAGCACACCGTGGTCGACCGAGGAGGTGACGACGTTCCTACATCTCATTGGGGATGATCAAATCCAGCAGGAGCTCGACGGAACAACTCGAAATGTGAACACAAACAAAGCCGATCGCCCCGCCTACACTGCGTTGCTACCCCAGGTCCTAAACTGTAATGGAAATGCGCCACGGCCTGGGCCGGCCAGCGAGGCAGCCCGAGGCCAGAGCGAGGACGCTTAGGGACGCTTAAACGGGGCTACCCCGCTGCAGTGGAAATGCGCCATAACTCCCCTTGTGTATGCACAGCTCTCAACAGGCCCAGACTTGGAGTGATTTTCACCTCTTTTAATACTTTTAAAAGTATACTACGTTGAATCAACACCCATTTCAAACGTTACAACTCTAATGAAAGGATACACTGCCTGCTGAGTGGATTTATAACAGCAAAAACAACTTTGTTGCAAGAAACACAAGCCCCCACTGCCTTCAATTATGTATAAGCTGGTTTCATGGATGATGTTTGGAGCAATTCTGTGGAAACATGAGGGGAAGTTGGTACATTTTGCAAAAGGCGATGGTAACAATATATTCTGCTGCTCATTGAAACGTTTTTTTTACATTGTCCCAAATGACTTTTCAGTTTCTAAGAAAGTCATTTTATTGATATATTTCTCTGTGTAGGGGATTACTTCAGTCGTTGTTTGTGTTCTTTGTAATTCTTTCTTTCCTCTTTGCACATCCAATCAGTACAGACCACTGTCTCATTTGAATGCATAGCTTTCCATCTCTAAATGACAAACACTGTTTATGCACTGTCGAAACACAATACAAATATGTTTGATCATAATCATATTTCTCTCTTTTCTTTAAGCTGGAGAGCATTTGGATTTAATTCAGTGTTCAAATCTGGAGGTGATCAAGCATAATAATGCTGTTTTTGTGTTCTCAGTTTGTGCGGCATTATTCCAGGTCTGAGCAGCGTTCTTCTTCCTCGCATGAACCCCTTCGTCCTCATCAACGTGGCCGGAGCTCTTTCCCTCTGCATCACATACATGCTCATAGAAATCAAGTAAGGAATAATCTCTCTGTGGCTGTGTTTATATCCCAAAATGCGCCTCTGCTTTCCTAGCCTGTGGGATGTCTTGTTTTCCATCCTTGTTTTTAAATTGTTGGGATTTTATCTGCACTTAACTTCAAATGTGTCGTGATGTGAAAGAACTCCGATGCAAGAATAGTGGGCAGAGATAGCTGCAGTACACACATCCTTTACTCAAGTAGAAGTACAGATACTCGTGTTTAAAAATACTCTGGTAAAAGTAGAAGTACTGACTAAACTTCTTTACTCAAGTCAAAGTAAAGAGGCTTTGAAATGTACTTCAGTAAAAAGTACCCATAACTAGCAGCTGTTTTAAAGAGTACCTGACCTCCCTTTATATTAATAGAACAATAATGTCATTGTTAGCTAATGAATGTTTCCATGCTGAACAACGGCAACATGACAACGTTTCCATTGGTCCCTCTTCTTTAGAGAAGACCAGGAAATGATGGATACACGGATCGTGTTCAAATCAATAGGCACGCAATGACTCTAAAGAATAATGATCACGCATCAAACACACATTCAGACTAAAGGAACCAGCTGTTTGGAAAATGAGAGAAGTAGAAAGTACAGGTATTTGAGTTCAACATGTGAGAAGTAGAAAGTACAGGTATTTGAGTTCAACATGTAAGAAGTAGAAAGTACAGGTATTTGAGTTCAACATGTAAGAAGTAGAAAGTACAGGTATTTGAGTTCAACATGTGAGAAGTAGAAAGTACAGGTATTTGAGTTCAACATGTAAGAAGTAGAAAGTACAGGTATTTGAGTTCAACATGTGAGAAGTAGAAAGTACAGGTATTTGAGTTCAACATGTAAGAAGTAGAAAGTACAGGTATTTGTGTTCAACATGTAAGAAGTAGAAAGTACAGGTATTTGAGTTCAACATGTAAGAAGTAGAAAGTACAGGTATTTGTGTTCAACATGTAAGAAGTAGAAAGTACAGGTATTTGTGTTCAACATGTAAGAAGTAGAAAGTACAGGTATTTGTGTTAAAAATGTAAGAAGTAGAAAGTACAGGTATTTGAGTTCAACATGTAAGAAGTAGAAAGTACAGGTATTTGAGTTCAACATGTAAGAAGTCAAAGTAAAAAGTCGTCAGAAAAATAAGTAGTGGAGTAAAGTACTGATACCAGAAAAATGTACTTACAGTAACGAAGTATTTGTACTGCACTACTTCCCACCTCTGTTAATGGATGGCAAAAGTATATTGTTTTGAATCTCTGAAAAGGAGGATGATTAAAAGATGTGTTTAATATTTGTGTGTGTGTGTGTGTGTGTGTGTGTGTGTGTGTGTGTGTGTGTGTGTGTGTGTGTGTGTGTGTGTGTGTGTGTGTGTGTGTGTGTGTGTGTGTGTGTGTGTGTGTGTGTGTGTGTGTGTGTGTGGTGTGTGTGTGTGTGTGTGTGGTGTGTGTGTGTGTGTGTGTGTGTGTGTGTGTGTGTGTGTGTGTGTGTGTGTGTGTGTGTGTGTGTGTGTGTGTTCAGTAACTATAACGCGGTGGACACGGCGTCAGCGATCGCCATCGCGCTCATGACGTTTGGCACCATGTATCCCATGAGCGTCTACAGCGGGAAAGTGCTGCTGCAGGTGAGAGAAACCTGACTTTTGTGTTCACGTTACAATTTAAATACACGACAGGAAGCCTAGTAATTAATATGTTCCTCTCATTTTCAGACGATGCCGGCACACGTCATCGGCCAGCTGGACAAACTGCTCAGAGAGGTGACTTTTAACATACTGTATGACGGGGCTATTCAATTGGCGGCCCGCGGCCCAAATCCGGCCCCGGGGTGATATTTACTGGCCCTTTGAGTATAATGTTAAAAAGTAATAACATTTTATATTGTTTTTTTTGTTGGCCAGAGTGCCTTTATTCCAGAGAGGGTGTTACATTGAGATAGAGGGGAAGACATTGCCTGAAAACTTCTGCGGGCTCGGGTTTCGAACCCACCTACTAGCTACTGTAGTGACACCTCCTGTCATTGATTGCATCTCTGTGTGAATGATTAGATCATTTCACCTAAATGAAATTATGTTGACGGTTAAATGAGCTTCACATGTAGGCCTACTGAGTTCTGAGCCATTTAGATCTCTAAAGGCCTTGGGGCTATGTTGTTTGATTTCATTAAACACAATGCATGCACTCCACTATGCTGTTGGAGTATTTACTGTATCTGAAGCTCTTCAAATGATTGCTCATATTTCAAGCCATCTTTTTCCCGGCCCCTTGCTTTGGATCATTTTCATCAACCGGCCCCATTCCAAATTAATTGAATAGCCCTGCTGTATGATATACATCTGATGTCAGGGCCCATGTTATATTAAACCTAATGTGATAAGTACATTAGTTACCAACACAATACATCTTAATAAGTTGTATTTTCTAGTTAAAGTTCTGATAGAAAAATCTGTTCTATTTCCTTTTGTGTACATTTTTTGAGTTTTCCCTGAAATTAATGTAAGGTTTCTTGTGAAATTGTAACATTTTTAAGCCTTTAGTCTCCAATCATGAAGCCCATAGATCAGGGGTGTCAAACTCAATTTCATCGCGGGCCACATTCACATAAAGGTAGCACTCAAAGGGCCGGTTGTAACTATATAAATATATAATATATATATAAAATAATGTATTATATGACATTATTGCCTCTGAATTGGATTATTAGCGGATAGGATAATAACTTAGTAATTAACTACATCTGAAAGCAGAAGTCCAGGGCAAATAATTACAAGTCTCTTCAGTGCGCATGTCACAAAACGAGATGCATTGTGTGACATGTAGTTTATGGGCATCCTGCTTCTGTAAAGTGGCATGTCACCGTATAACAAACGTATTATTATTATTCTTTGCAAGCTCTTGCGGGGCCACATGAAATGAAGTCGCGGGCCGGATTTGGCCCCCGGGTCTTGAGTTTGAGACCCCTGCCATAGATGCAATATAAAGAAATAGATATTTATCCCCAGAGAAAGACACAGCTCCTAACATCCTCCTCTCTTTTTGTCCAATCAGGTGTCGACTCTGGAGGGCGTGCTGGAGGTTCGAAACGAGCACTTCTGGACCGTCGGCTTCGGATCTCTGGTACGTTTCTCACAACTAAAGATTTAAGACGAGGCTATTTTTTTATACCATTTACTTGTAGATCTTAATTTACAATCAGAGACATTTTGATGTAAAATGAATGTGAAGGATCTGGATTTAACATGCGAGTTAACGTGAAGCACCGTGTGGTACAGTACATTGTGATACAAACAAACAGCAGAGCTCTTCTTAATTAGCTTAAAGGTCCCATGTCATGGCCATTCATCATAATTCCATTGTTGAGGTCGACTAGAATAGATTTACATTGTTCAATGCTCCAAACTCACATTGGTTTCTCATACAGCATCTCTGTATAGTATGTGTATTCACTCTCTGTCCTAAACGGCTTGTTGGAGCTCCTGCCCCCCCCCCCCCTCCCTGTGAGCCCACTGTGCTCTGATTGGTCAGCTCGCCCACTCTGCTCTGATGAGTCCACCACCGTTACAGCGGAACATCAGTGATTATGTTTTACAATGGCGTTTGTTAGCAACCAGAAAATGACACCAGTAATGACCAGCGATTATTCGATTATTCGATTATTCGATTATTCGTTACAGTCTCCATAATCGAATATTATTTTTAAAATCGATTTTATTTATATATTTTTTTATTATTATTTATGTTTTATTTATTTTTTTCTGGCTTAGTTTCAACCAAAATATAGACTAATGTTTATAATAGTAATAGTATTAATAATTGTAAATGGCCATTGGTCACACCACCAGTTCGGTCGGTCGAATAATCGATTATTATTCGCCAGGGCTGCCGAATAATCGATTTTGATCATGGTCAGTTTCTGGCAACCCTAGTAATGACAAACAGATGAGAATGCTGCGTGGGGTCTGGGTGGGGTCTGCGTGGGTCTGCGTGGGGTCTGCGTGGGGTCTGGGTGGGGTCTGCGTGGGGTCTGCGTGGGGTCTGCGTGGGGTCTGCGTGGCGTCTGCGTGGGGTCTGCGTGCCGTGTTGGCGGGACGTTGCGGGGCTCGCTGCTGTGAGGAGCGGACAGTGTGAGCTGGGTTACTGGTGTCGTTTCCTGGTTGCTGCGTGGGGTCTGCGTGGGGTCTGCGTGGGGTCTGGGGGTGCCGAGGGGGCTGCAGCACCCACATCTGCGAGGCTCCATTAACATACACATACATAACACACAAGGGGACTGGTAATAACTGGAAAAGCATGACATGGGACCTTTAATCGAATACATAATTAGTAAAACATGATTTTATTTAGCTGCCAGTGACTCATGAATCCAGACCCAGAAACCAGTCCTCCTTATAGTAACCCAACATAAACAAAGTTTGTTATGTGTCAATGAGTTTGTGGCAATTTAAATAACTGTATTTAAGAGATGCCTGTGAGCAAGATATAAAAGTAATAAACTAGCTTCAGGGCAGCAATTTTTGTAACATAGGAGCTATGAATCTATTTGAAATCTATGTAAATCTCCCTCCATCTCTTCCTCTTAGTTATTTAGTTTCCTTCGTCTCTGTATTTGTGTCTGGATTTCTCCTCCCTCTCTTTTATTTGTCTGTGTGGTGACGATCTGCAGGATCTGTTCACTCAGACGAAAAGAAGGAACAAGTCATTCATGCGGAGATATTCTCGCTCTCCATTTCTCCTTTTGTTTTTTTGGAGGAACATTGTGTTGTTGCTGTTTTCTGTGTCCAGTCGTCCTCTGTGTCGTTGTAGCGACTGCTAACAAGCCCAGCTGGCATTGAAACACACCCACACACACACACACACACACACACACACACACACACACACACACACACACACACACACACACACACTCATACACACACACACACACCCACTCAGGCTTTTTGCAGAAACGCACTATGCTCTCAATGTTTAAAACAAATGATTAGGTAACTTTAGCTAATTAAACCTTATAATGGAAATATATTTTTTGGCCAAACACTGAACCTTCTCTGGTTTATGTGCATTTAACATATTGCTATTCTTAATTTTTTTTTTGTTTATCTGCAAAATAAACGTCCAAAGACCGTACAGCGCCTAAGAATTGAACGTCCACGTATCAGTGGTTCCCTCCCGCGGCCTGCAGGTGGAGCAGCGCCCGGTGTTTACATCGCTCTGATGGTTGTTTATGTTGATGTTATCGATGCCTCCTGCAGCTCGTGTTGTTGTGACGGATGCTGCTCTGCAGTTACACAACTGTTGGTTGTTGGCCCACTGCTAACAGAGCAGCTGTCCAAACTCATTTGACCCTGTGACTGCACTTCTGCCCCACGGGGACTCTGACTGTGTGTGTGTGTGTGTGTGTGTGTGTGTGTGTGTGTGTGTGTGTGTGTGTGTGTGTGTGTGTGTGTGTGTGTGTGTGTGTGTGTTGTGTGTGTGTGTGTGTGTGTGTGTGTGTGTGTGTGTGTGTGTGTGTGTGTGTGTGTGTGTGTGTGTGTGTGTGCTGTGTGTGTGTGTGTGTGTGTGTGTGTGTGTGTGTGTGTGTGTGTGTGTGTGTGTGGTGTGTGTGTGTGTGTGTGTGTGTGTGGTGTGTGTGTGTGGTGTGTGTGTGTGTGTGTGTGTGTGTGTGTGTGTCATTTTGAAGTCTCCACATTCCCAAAAGAACGGTACATTTGGCAAACGAGGACAAAATGAGGGCTTCTGTTTGGTGTTTTAAGGCCAGATTTTGAAGTTAGGGGCTAATTGTTGAGGTCATTTTGATAACTGATGAACAAGTTGTTTGAGGGGAAGCATCATGGCGAGCATCACTGAACAAAAACTGATTTTTTATTTATATTAAAGGTGATTTGGTCAGAGTGTTTGGGTCTGATTGCGGGGACGTGATGAAGCCTTCTATTTGATGTAGCGCTCTAAACATTACCATACTTCATATAGCGTGGATGGATGACGTATTTCTGTAGTGGACCCTGAAGGCAGCATCTCCGTGATTCCCTCGATTTCTCTATTTCCTTTTGGATTATTGCAGAAAATAATCTCGATGGCAAACACACTAATGATCCCTACATGTTTTGTTTAAAAAACCTCACCTTCTTTGAAACAAGGGAACAAAAAGTGCTATAACACTTCCTCACTTCCTTGGTTTTCGCACTTATTCCTGCACGACTCTTTTAAGAAGTGCAATAAAGTCTTAAGAGAGTATCATGAATTGACAACTGCTTGTTTTTGGGCAAGCTACATCAACGTATTCCACTCTCTCGTTAGCGTTTTCTCAGATGAACCACGGACAATATCACAGAATCAGGCCCGCACACTGTTAGACTGTTCCTTTCACCCATCAGAATTGTAATAGGGAACTTTGTGTAAATTACTTTGTACTTGTTTTAATCTGTCCTGTAACCACTTTACTACTCAATCAAAAATTGAGGAGAGAAATTATTGAATCAGATTCCACTCTTTTGCCCAGTGCTCACTCTTTCCCCCCCCTCCCCCCTCTGTTTCAGGCCGGCTCCGCCCACGTCCGTATCCGCCGCGACGCCAACGAGCAGCTGGTCCTCGCTCATGTCACCAACCGCCTCCTCCCGCTCGTCTCCACGCTGAGCGTCCAGATCTTTAAAGACGACTGGAGCCGGCCCCTCCTCACATCGGCCCTCACCTCTTCTTCTGCTCCTCCTGAAAGCTACACCTCCTCCTCCTCTCTGCCCCCTCCTCTCCACGGGATGGACCCTCTGACCTCCACCCCCTCCAAACCCAGCAGCTCTCCCCCAGAGTTCGCCTTCGAGACCCCGGGAAGGAACGCTCAGCAGGTGGTCCTCCCGGCCCCCGGAAACCACGGGCCCTACGCAGGTTTGGGGCTTCCCTACGGAGCGTCTCCCTACGCAGGGATGCTGAGTCAGGGGTTAGCGAGGCCTGGCGTGGGGCTGGGTCTCGGGGCGGGGTTAGGACTGGGCGTGGGCGTGCCCCCCCCCTCTCAGAGCTACAGGACTGCCTTCGGGGGGGCCACAGTGCCGCTACGCTTCGGGAGCCACAACCCTTTGGCCCCTCAGTCGCAGTACAGACAGTACCGACCATAAATGTGCCGCGACAGGACTTCAAAAACTTTTTTGCCCGTGATGGAGGTGAAGTTCCCCCCCCCCCCTCACCAGAGCTAAACTCCCAGAGAGGAAACAAGAGTCATATTACAGGTGGTCTTTAGGAGAGGATGGTGAGCGGGTTGTGGTATTTATTTTACTGACAAGGGGACCAGGAGGTTTGAACGAGGTTGAATTTGAGTTTTTTTTTTTATCAGGATGTACGATGCGTCCTCACAGTGTGGCTGACAGAAAGAAAGCAGTGTGTTCATCAGTACGACTTCTGACTATTACGGTTATTTTGTAAGAGAAAACTTCACAAGGATCTTTTGTTGAGCAAACAACATTCCTGGCGATTGGAAATAACGTGTTGAATTGAATTAAATTCCAGCGTTACATACATGCACAATCCCAGCTATTTAAAGGAAACCAGAGAGAGTAACTGCTCCATCAATTTGAGAGACGAGGACATTTATTGTGATTTAAAAAGTGGTTGTGTCGTTAAAAAACATTGAGATATCTGCCTTAAAGTGAGTGGCTTCATGAAATCATACATTATTTAAAACCCAAATGATATGTTTATTTTCAATTCTGCTCATTAATTAAATCGACATTCTTTGATGGCTGCAGTTCATACAAACAGTGTCTTTGAAAAATAATGAATTCAAAACATTCCTTGAACCTGCAATTTATATCAATTGCAGATACATTTTTTATTTGAAGATATCTCATTTCTGCTATGATATTAGACGACAATGAAATCAAATGCATATCATCATTTCCTAATTGTGTGACCAACCGGCCAAAAGCCAAGAATTCCCCTTTTTTTTTTTTTAAAGCATTTTTTCTATTGACTTATATTATTTGTTCTCCGTAACACATGTTTCTTCTGACTGAATCTCCTCTTGAAAACAAGTATAGACGAATGAATCAACACATGTTTATTTCCTGCATGTTGTCAGCAGCCTCTCTGCATACAAACTCTTTTTTTTAAATATTAAAATCTTTGTATCTGCTCAAGTCAAAATTGGCTGACGGTGAATCTGTTTTATTATGATTAAACATGGAGGCTTGTAATGGATTTACAACTGGGAGGAGTGCATGTTAAAGGTAGGGTCGGTAACAATGGAGAAACCAGCTCGAGTGCGCTAGAATTTGAAAATACACAAAAAATCTGCCCCTTCCTTCAGACTTCCTCACAGAGCCCCTCCTCCAACACACATGAACGCGCACATGACCAATGAGGGCACGAGATAAGTTTGTGCACAGGTGGAAGGCTGACAGGCAGGTAGGCCATCCAGTTACTTTAGCCGGCTCAGATGATTGGTCGTGCTTTTTACAGCGCCACGGCTTCCACAGATGAATTGTTTTAATGTATTTATTGCTATCGGGATGTTAAAGGTGGGGTAGGTAAGTTTCAGAAACCGGCTCGAGTGCACTAAAATTTGAAAGTACACAGCCGAAAAGAATCCGCCCCTTCCTTCAGACTTCCTTACAGAGCACCTCCTCCAACACACACGAACGCGCACATGACGTCAGCAGACTGGTGAAAGTGGCCGCCTGTTGCTGGCGAGTCATTGAAGTACTGCTGCAATGCACGCCCAATGACGGCACGCCCAATGAGGGCACGAGATACATTTGTGCGTGCACGAGATGGAAGGCTGACAGACAGGGCGGCAATCCAATCCGTTTAGCCGGCCGGCTAAACGGATTGTACCTTTTACAGCGCCACGGCTTCCACAGATGACATTTTTTTATGGATTTTTTGTCAAAGCACTTCAGATATTCATTGCTATCGGGATGTTAAGAGCATTCCATGGAATATAACAAAAAGTGTATCTCGAGCCGGTTTCTGAAACTTACCTACCCCACCTTTAATGTATTCATTGCTATCGGGATGTTAAGAGCATTCCATGGAATATAACAAAAAGTGTTTCTGAAGTGAATCACCTACCCCACTGGGATGTTGACATGGTTTCTTCTTATTTTTATTTTGTACTTATCTGAATTTGGGATTGGTGTTAAAAAAAGACCTTATTCCTAGATGTTCATTCCTTACAGGTCACAGGTTTCTGGTTCCTTTCTCTCAGTCAGGGAATCGAAAAAAGCCCTTAAACGCAGATCTAAATGACATCAGAGCTGAGACGTGTACCACGTGTAGAGTAAAGAATCCACGATAGATATGAAGTCACTCGGCCTAAATGAGAGATATTCAATGTTTGTTTATTTATATAAATAAAGGATCTGGGACTGTTATTAAAAACAGGAAATGAAAGTTTTCCTCATTTGTTTTTCTGCCAAACGAGAGGCAAATCCTTCAATCTGTGAATTTACTGAAGATAAAAAATAAGAAATGTAAGAAAAACAAACATTATTCCTGATCTTGGTGCTTTTGGGGGGGGGGTCAAGGTGGTAAAAAGTATTGTAAACAGTTTGCTTCACTGACTTCTGAATGTTTCCCATCCGGTGAAAGAAGAATATGTTGGCCTTAATTCAGAAAGTGTGATTTTGTTTTTTTAACATTACACTTTTTCATCTTAACCCTCCTGTTGTCTTCGGGTCAAATCTGACCGATTTACTACTTTCATCAATCATAACTTTTTTGTTTTACATTCGATTGCATTCAGGCATCATGATATCCTTCACAGTAGACATTTGAACATTATACAATTGTTGATCACCACTTTCATTGCATTCTGGATGATTTAGTGAACTTTGTAACACCATGGTGTTCCCGGTCAAAAATGACCGCCTTAAAGAAAAGGAATTAGTAACCATCCGGATCAGATAAAACACACACACACACACACTCTAGATGTGTTCCCCCCCTTATGTGCCCATCCCCCCATGTGAATCACATACACACAAACCATAGACACAAACACACAGAACAATTTGATACATTTCCCGCTCTTATGTGCCCATCCCCCCACATGGATCACACCTGGCACACGCAATACATGTTCAGTGTCTATTCTTTGTATATTTACTGCAGTTTTTCATGTGTACCAGTAGTCTGATACAATATTTACAGTTTGAAAGGGTGTTAAATGAAATTTGGTGATGATTAATGGTTTTTGTGTTAATGTAATAGCAGTTAAAACAGGACCGGTCAAATTTGAACGCGAACACCAAAGTAAGGGGGAAACGAAGACAATAGGAGGGTTAAAGGGAAGTTTAAGTCTGTTGGATCTGGTTTAAAGTGCACATCATTGAAGCAAGGAACAAAACAACTGTATTTTCAGTGAGGGTTACAAACATGTTAATTTGAATTTATTTTAATGCGAATGTTATTTAGGTGGCCGACTAAACTGTTCTTGCTGGTTCTGGTGGCAGTAAGTTTACAAAGGATCAGTCAGACCAAACTTCTAATCATATTTGTGGGTTTATGTTCCCACAAAACACACAAATATCTGGACACATTTTGTCTTCAATTTTCCTTAATTATCTGAGCTTCTCCAGATCTTTCCATGTACTGCTTGAAGAAGAACCAGAACCACTGCTTTAAAGGGGACCTATCATCCAAAATGCACTTTTTGATGTATTTTATACATAAAGATGTGTCCCCGGTGTGTCAGGGAACTCACGCAGCGTCAGAAAACAAAACCCTCTCTCTTTTCCTCCGTACCCAAATCTCTAAAAACGGAGGAACAACGGAGCTGATCCAGATTTGCGTCCGATATGACGTAAATGAATGCATGATCCGTTTGGTATATTGAGCAAAACACATCATAGACATGTTTGTATATATTTGTATATATCTGAGACCCATAATATATGCCTAAAAATAGCATAGACCTCAACGTTTATCTAATTACTCCTTGTCAAAAGTTACATGTACATATTGTAACATACAACTGATGGAGGCATAACAACTGAGATAAGTTGTTGAGCCTCATCGTGTGGATCTGACACTGATAAATGAAGTTGTGATTAGAAAGGGAGGGATAGTTTAAGAAGCTGCCTCCACATCATACAAGTTTAATATGTAAGCTTCAGCTGCCTCTGTAATCCGTTTGCTCCTCCAGGCGTCTCTGAACTCCATCACTGCGCTCCTGCAGCAGCTCCTCGCTCCCTCAAGGCATCATGGGAAACGTAGTCTCCTCCTTGAATCCTGACGAGACCTCCTGACCTCACAGTTTACACACCTGAAGAGCAAGTACGTGCATCAACGCAGATATAAAGGGTTGAAATAGTGTTATTTCCTGTTTAATGTGAAACATACCTGCAGATGTTTGAAAACCTTTATTCCAAGCATACATAAAAAACACAACATGGAAATCTGAGATACTCAACTAACGCATCCTTTTTTCAAATTCACAATGGTTGTTTTTGGCCAAAGATTCAAATAAGTGCATTTCAAGAGAGCATTAAACAAAAAAAACGTCGAAATTGTGTAATATTTAGATTTTGGCAGTGGCGATCACCGTCAGGGCCTTCAAGGTATTCAGAGAATACCCTGGAACACTCAGATAAAACAAACAAAAAATCGATTTAATTATATAAATAAAATGTATATAAAATGAATAAATGAGAATTGTATCTGTGTCGTTGATCTGTAATATTAGTGTTACGTTGATTTGTTTATCCTTCTCGGACCATGCTCTACGCATTTCAGTGGTTTTGTGTTAGAAAAGAAAGCAACCAATCAGATCTTGTTCTGGGTCTCTGGGTAGAATATCCTTCAACAAAGTATTCTACATCCTTGATCGAATGCCCTGGCCGTTGCAATAGAGTCTGGCTGCAGACCGCAGCAAGGAGGCGGATCGTATAGGGGCGTTTCCTAAAGGGTTATGAACCCCGCCCCCACGTATTTCTTAAAGGTATAGGACGCTCTCTGTTTCTCATTTATTTTAATGCTTTGAATGAATCATAAACGAACTTTGAAAAATAATAATTATAATTAATTTGCATAAAGAATGAAGAGTATACAACCCACAGAGAAGACAAATTCATAAATTGTAGGCATATCATTTTTCACTGTTTGTGCAGTGGTAGTAATTATTATTCAAATCAACTACGTTTTATGGAAGATATTGCTGTATATCATTTAACAACATGAGTAGAGGTTTCTGTACACCTAAAATACTGAAGTTTAAGTTACTGTCCTGATGTGTATCATTCATTTGTTCATGTTGTGTCTGGTGGTAAGATTAATAAAAAAATAAAAAATATATACAGTACATACAAAGAGGAAAGTCTTTATTAAACAAACATTTTATTCTTGGAAGGTGCCTCCAGCATCATAGAAACAGTCAATGCTGCAGAATCCTGCCAGCTCATCTTTTCTGATGATGCCATAACTAATGTTACATAATTATAGAAGACACATCCGAAGTGTTATTTTTACATATTGATTAGCAGCCGACATTTACTGAAAGGATGCGTCCGTCTCTCGTCTGGTTCATTACAACTAGTAGTTACAAACTGTTACAGTTACAACCTTAATCAGTACCGCACATCTTATTACTCAATTCAACCAACCAAGCTAGCCATGTTGTCTATCCGAATCCATACCATATTATTTGATTAAGTTACAGTATGTAGGGCAGGCCTACTTATATTTCCAAGATAATACAACAGTACACTAGCATCATGCTAAGTGCTGGTTAGCATCACAGCATATACGCTAACCTTAGGTCAATTAGATGATCAGCTTTGGTAACACAAATCAGTATTGTTACCGAGCCTGATAATCTATTGACCTATCTAAGCTTAACGTTATTACAACAGTAGAGTAGGCCTGGTTGCAAACGGGACTATAGGCCAACGTTTTTATAGCATCATGCTAAGTTAGCATTTAAGGAGACACCCCAGGTGAATAGGGTAATTTTTTTAACTTAAAGGTATCAGCTAGAAATTTCTCCAGTTAATTACTTACAATAAGGCAATTGTCTTTTGTATTACAAGTTTTCTGAAATAGCATGTTTAAATATGCAAATTATCCATTATCTCATTAAATATGCACATATTTTAACACATTTCAGAAATTGAAATCTGAACTTTGGATATAGCCAGATTCAAAAT